TCGCTACCCCCCCCCCCACCACAATAAATAAAATATTATCTAATTGCGAACGTTCTTAATGTCTCTATCTCCCCCTCCCCCTTGTTCGCAAAAGTTCGCTTTTGGCTAACCCCCCTCTCCCCTCAAGTGCGAACGTTATATGTGAACCACGTCTAAGTTATAATTTAATTAAATATTCAACATTTTTGCAATAAATACAAATATTTTAACTAAACAAATAATGTAATAAATAAATAAATAACAAAACAGTAATTATCAATATTATTTGATACTAAGAAACTTTGAATATTTATTTATACAATAATTTTTGCTAACTTTGAATGTTATTGATTAACTAAATTATTATTTTGTGTATTAAATTAACTGTCTGTATATTTTTACAATTTGAAACAATGTTATAAAAGTTGAAAATACTAAACATATATAATCTTAATTAGCTTTCAGTTATTTAAATATTTATCTAATATTTATCTTAATACAATATTATGCATTTTGTTTAATTTATTTTAGTTTATATTATACATGAAATAATATAAATTTTGTTTTTTATATAATATTATTTATTATATCTTAAAAATAAATATACAATATATTTTAATAATAATTACACACAACAAAAGTTAAATGTCTATTTAGGAATTTTTATGAAATATAAATAACATATATTAAAAATATAAGTGGAAATTTTGTTTTAATTATATACATATTTTAGAAGTATATATAAATATAATAAAAATAATTACTTTGTTTTTTAAAGTTATTATTCAATAATGTAATTAACATTATTAGTTATAATAACATATACACTGTTAATGTTAAATTATATGAAATAAACAACTTTACAATTAATGTATTGTTATGCTAATCAGATATAAAAAAAATATTCAAAATTGTTATTATAAATAAAAATTAAGAATAATTATTACAATATTTAAATAATATTGTCGGTCAGGTGTACTTGAGTTATATAAAAAAGTAATTATATAATAAACATTATTATTTATTTTTTTCATTTTTATTTATTTTTAAATCATTATAAATACAATACTATCAATGAAATCTATATTTAATAATTATTTGCTAATATAAAATAATTTTTTTTCATTTTATTAATTAGTTGGATAAGTATATCAAATTAAATATATTAATCAAAAAAAATAAACTCGACTAAACTTAATTATAAAAATTAACGCAAAATTAAACAACAAATACTATGTATTATCAACAACAACAACAAACAGCAACAAACTGGTCATCAATGTATCAACGATTTCGGCTATACTATCAAAATAAATTACACCAAAGTGAGCAAGTTAGTTTTGAACATTTGGAAAAATTTTTGTCAAAAAACTATGTGTTTGCATCGCCAACATTTGACCAGTATGTCAAACGTGACAATACTAGACAATTTTTATCATCAAGGTTAAAAATATGTTTGCTAATTAAATTGGCATCACTGATGACATTGTTAAGATACGGCTGGTCTACAGTTTACGGTACACCCTATGTTATATGGCTGACTAGTAATGCCAATCATATGCTGGGCAATCGTTACATTATATCAGGTATACTAACGTACGGTGCTTTCATCTGCAATATGATTATTGGCGGTTCACTATTATTCAGAGATATCCGAAACGATTTATATTTGTTTAGGTTTTTATATGAAATAAAACACAATTTAATTGATAATCAATTAAAAGGTGAACTAAAGCGCAAGTTTTACAAACAAATGGATCTAATTGTCAAACATCTGTCCTATCCGTTGCATATCAATCACTGTATTAACAGTTCAATGATATGGTTTTTGCCGCCATTTATCGCATATTTTAATCCTTATACTAGACATGACTACTCATTACTATTGACAATCTGGTGGACAGTTGTGGGGATCCTATGGATTGTCGACTTTAGCGCTATTATTATATGTTGTTTTCAAATCTGGTATTTGTCGCTAACATATCTAAAGTATCAGTTCATTCAAATTGATAATAGTTTGAAGCGTGCAGTTTGTCGACATAATTATCAATTTGTAAACATAACATTTAATGACCATGATAAATGTTCACTAAAAACCAACAAGATCAATAGTATGCTTAAATATTATCTATACATTTTGTATGTATTGGTTAAGCCAGGTATGAATATAATTATATACTTGACATTTGCATCGGCATCACAGTTGCCCACCCGAGTGGCCACTTGTGTTATATTTGTAATAATTGTTGGACTAATGTTTTGTGCTAACCTTACCTGTGCATCGGTATCGACAGCCGCACATAAACCATGTAAATCATTGTATAATCTAACAGTCGATCAATCGTTGTCCTTAACTATGCGTCTAAAAGTTTATTTATTTATTGAACATTTAGCCGACACACACATTGGCTTTAAGTGTCTCGATATGTTTCCAATGAATAATTATAATTTTTATAATTATATAACCGGTTGGGTCTATCAATATTTTTTAATTATTAATGTATTAAATAAATTATATAGAATCTCATAAAATATATAATATCAATATTTGATTGTTTCTATTAATTGTTAATTAAACTTTATGAATTAATCTAATTTAATTACAATTAATAATGTTAAAATAAGTTAATGAATTTTATATTTTATAATATATTTTTTAAATAGCTATATAGAATTTTAGTTTTACAGTTTAAAAATATTTTAAATATTTTATTTTTTTTAAATAAAAATATCAATACTCATAAGTTTTTTTTGGTATTAAATAAATGACTAGTTGCATTTTTTGAATTATAAAATTGTTGGTGTTATTAGATATAATATTATTGCTTTAAAAAAGCTTTAAATACAGATAAATCTAATAATTGTATAGTTATTTTGTAAAATTTTTCTTCAAATAGTTATTATTTTGTTCAATTAAAAAAATACAGTACAAAATGGCAAAATTATCATTGCTATTGTGTTTTCTAGTTATAGCCATTTTATCTCCCGGAGCATTGATGTCGGCACTTAAACCAGAGGCCGATTTATACAATCCATTTACCCAATGCTGTAAATTTTCACTATTTTTCCCTTATTGTTCTCAACGATGTTACAATTGTTTGTTTCAAATTGGTTGCACTGGTGGTTGGCGACCACCATTTATACCAATACGACCATTATGGCCTCTGCCACCACTACCGTTTTGGACTTTACCACCACAACTACCAACAGAAACAACAACAACTACTAATACAAAAACAAAAGTGACTGAGACATCAGCACCGGTAGAAACAACAACACCAGCAAACATTGCTACAGTAGCGACAACACCAAAGCCTACTACTGCTAAAGCATAGTTTGATTAGTATTTTGTTAGTAATATATTTATTTAGTTAACAAAAATATTAATTTTGTTTTTAATTTAGTTTAGTTTAATTAATAAACAAATAAATCTGTACATTTATGTGCTAATTAAATTTATTATTATTATTAAATAAATATTAATTATAAATTTTTAAACCTATAATTGTTGCTTAAAATCATGAATAATTCAATTTGTAAATTGAATTTCTACATATCATTTCTATACACAATTTCAACATTATTTTTTATTAAATGCAATTATTATTATATATTGTAAAAAACTATATTCATTAATTTATTAAGCAAAATTTTTTATGATAAATAAAAAAAATTTTAAATAATTTTTATGTATATAAAGACACCAAATGTTTCAGTAATAACTGTATAGTCAATTAACTGATAATAATCAATAGTAAATTATCGAAATTAATCATTATGAACAAGCTAATTTTGATTGCAAGCATTTTTGTTGGTATCGCAATTATGCTGATCCATTTGGGTAACTGTGCCGATAATCAGGTCCGGGCCGTTATGAACAATGATGGTGTTGAGTTCCGTCACCATTACCCTCACCACTGGATTATACTATACTGTTGCCAACAAACGGCAGACAACAGTACGTGTGAGCAGTACTGTCGCAGTTGTGACACACATACCTCATGCTATGATTTGGATGCAAAAACATTAACCAAAGGAAACACTACAACACCTAAACCGTAGGGTTTGAGTTGACAACAATATTTGATACATTAAATTGTTTAGAAAAATATTTTTTAAATATTCAAATTTTTTTTATTGTTATTGTGTATCAAGTATTCTAATATTTAATTATTTTAATAAATAAAACTAAATATAACTTTAATGATTTTCATTTAACTTTGACTGAATTTAATGTGATTTTAAATAAAATTTAAATTGAATTAAAAATGTTTGTACTTATTTTTGCATTCAAAAAAATTTTTGATACCATATTGTTATGGTTTAAATATAAAATAATTAATACAATTAAAAATAAACTATTGTATTATGAAGTATTTTATAAACATTACTTAAAATTATATTATATTGATAATTTAAAAAATTAGATATTAGAAAGAAATAACCAAAACATTTAGATATTTATTTAATAAATCGTGTGTTTGTTTTGCACGTCTAGTCTGTTATGAATTTATTACAGATTAAATTGCCAATAAATAAATTTATTGTAATTATTAAATTATGTAATTACTAAATGTTTAGTACTACTAATACAAGTAAAAAATAGATTATATTTTGTAAAAAATATACATGTATTTTAAATGATTGGTTCCAGTTTATTAAAATTGCTAAACTGATATAAAACTAAAAAATTGTGTAATTGTGTTAAATAAATATTATTTTATTATTTTGAAATACTATTAAATTTACCTGTATCTTATTATTTTATATTATTTACTAAATAATATAAAATAATAATTAGCAAAATCATTATTATATAGAAATTATTCTCTATAATGATTGACTCAAATCATTTAAAGTGAGTTTAGTTATATATATATATATACTCTATCATATTTTAATAAAAATTTAGATAATTGTTAGTTTGATTATTTAAAAAAAAATTAATAATCAGTAAAAACTTAATTGTAGCCATTGTTACAATGTTCAAGATATACACTTTGATTATAAGTTGTCTATATATGACACATATACCGGTCGGTGCATTGGAAACAACCAACGAAACAGAATCCAATTTCCTTTTACCACATTTGTTACCACATTTACCATTACTACCATTACTACCATTACTACCATTACTACGACTACCACTTCTGCCACTTGTTCATTGCTGCGACTTATCGTTTCCCGTATGTCGGGTCCAGTGTGTTAGCTGTCTCTTCCGATTTGGATGCTATCAAATAGAAGAACCTACACAACCAACACCGACAATTGGACCCACAGCCGCTCCCACAGCAGCTCCGACAGTGGCTCCGACAGTGGCTCCGACAGCAGCTCCGACAGCAGCTCCGACAGCAGCTCCGACAGCGGCTCCAACAGCAGCTCCGACAGCAGCTCCGACAGCAGCTCCGACAGCAGCTCCGACAGCAGCTCCGACAGCAGCTCCGACAGCAGCTCCGACAGCAGCTCCGACAGCAGCTCCGACAGCGGCTCCGACAGCGGCTCCGACAGCAGCTCCGACAGCCGCTCCGACAGCAGCTCCGACAGCAGCTCCGACAGCAGCTCCGACAGCAGCTCCGACAGCAGCTCCGACAGCAGCTCCGACAGCCGCTCCGACAGCGGCTCCAACAGCCGCTCCCACATCTGGATCTACAGCCGTACCCACAGTTGGGACGACAATGGGTTAGACAAAATATTGAGAAATAGGATGAATATAATAATGAAATTTATAAGTTATTAAATAAAAATTTTAATAAATTTTTTAAATTTATAAAAAATACTGTTAACTTATATAATAACTTGAATTTTAAATTGAAAAATAAAATTATGAACAAATATTATTTTTAATGCAAATAATTTTATCATTATTTAGTCAATTCAATTCAATTTAAATAAAATAATAAATATCTTATTGAATTATAATATATTATAAATAGATTTTATTAAATGAATAAATTGATTGTTAATATAGTTTTAGGATTTTCCAATAGTTTGAGAGTTAGTATTGTGGAACTGGATCTAAAATATAAATTTTTTAAATATTATAATATTATTTATTTTAATAAATTAACTAAATAAAATTTTAATGATTTTTATTTAACTTTGAATGAATTTAATATGATTTTAAATAAAATTAATTGAATTGAAAATGTTTATATTTATGTTTGCATTCAAAAAATTTTGATACTATATTGTTAAAGTTTAAATATAAAAATAATAATTACAATTAAAAATAAACTATTTACTCTATTACATTTATTCATTAGATTTTTTTAAAATTTTAAGTTTTTAACTGTTAAAAAAATAACAAAATTTTTTTCTTGCAAATAGTTTTATTTAAAATGTCATTAATAATGTCGTTAATTCATTATATAGATTATAAATATTACATCAAAATTATTAAAGTTTTATATAAGTAATGTATTGTACATCAAATTACTGGAAAATTTAGAATAATTTAAAATATAATTAATTATATTTTAAAAGAGATTTGAATGTAATAAATATTTTTGTTAAATCAAATCCTAAGGTTTAGGAGTTGTAATGTTTTTTGTTGGCAATGTTTTTGCATCCAAATCATAGCATGAGGTATGTGTGTCACAACTGCGACAGTACTGCTCACACGTACTGTTGTCTGCCGTTTGTTGGCAACAGTATAGTATAACCCAGTGGTGAGGGTAATGGTGACGAAACTCAACACCATCATTGTTCATAACGGCCCGGACCTGATTATCGGCACAGTTACCCAAATGGATCAGCATAATTGCGATACCAACAAAAATGCTTGCAATCAAGATGAGCTTATTCATAATTAACAATTTTTAATAATACATTATCAATTAATTAACTATTGATTATTATCATATAATTGATTATATAGTTATAAATGCAAAAAACGATGTCTTTATATACATAGAAAATATTTGAATTATCAGATATTTAATATCTTAATTGCTTAACAAATTAGCCAATACTGTATATTATAGTTTTAAACATAATTTCACAATTTATTGTTGTTTTTTTATCAATAAGTTGGGAAATGTGAATATGCATTAAATGATAATTATTGATGAAATTATTTTCCTGCTAACTGTAAATTTTATTTTTTAAATAATTTATAAAATCATTATTTTGCAGAAAATTAATTAAAAGAAATAATATTATTTTATTTATCAATAAATATTTAATTTAATATTATTTAAAAATTTAGATTAATAAAGTCCAATACATGCAAACACACCGAACTCATCATTGATACATTATAGCTAACCAATAGCTTCTATAGTAATATATTTTAATTATTTATCACATTTATTATTATTATTTTAATATAAATATATACTGTATACCTGTATACCACAATTATTATATAAAATTTAGTAATTATTACAATTTACTCTATTTGTTTGTTTGCCTAACCGGCAATCATTTACGACAATTGTCCACAAACTGTGGCACAATTTATACCATTGATAGCGCTATTTCGTTGTCTATTGTCGCGGGACGACACATCAAAATGTACTGCGGGATAGGGTTAACAATAAAAGAGACAAACTTACCGATAACTGAATAATGTCGGGATTATCTCTCTAAAAAACTAGTCATTTTATATTGAGATATATATAAGCAAATAGTAATCCCGCGGTACCTTCTAATGACTCCTCCCGTGACAATAGATCATTAAATAATGCAATCAATCGTATAAATTGTGTAAATGATTGTTCGGTTAGACAAACAAACAAATAGAAAAAAAATTGTAATAATTACTAAATTTTATTATTAATTTTCTTCCTCTAACTAAACAGTTATATAATTAACAATTATTATAATTTATGGCTATTTTTAATTACAACTTTTAATTATAATTTACTAACAGAAATAACATTTAAAATTAAAATTTAATTAATTAAATTTTAAATTTATTAAAATAATTTAATTAACAATTTAAGTTACATATAAAAGAAAGTAAAAGAAACAGTTTTATTTTTTTAATGCAAACAAAATAAATCGAAATTTATTAAATAATTTTCAATTGATTAGATATAATAAAATTAATTTAACAGTTTTAATATTTTTTTACACTTTAAGGTTTAGGTGTGGGTCCGGAAGTAGGACCGGAAGTGGGACCGGAAGTGGGTCCACCTGTGGGTCCGGCTGTGGGTCCACCAGTTGGTAAAGCGGTAGGTTTGGTGTTTGCGTCCAAATTGAAACACTCGGTATGTGTGTCACAGCTGCGGCAGTACTGCTGACATGTGCTGTTGTCGGCCGTCAATTGGCAACAATGCAAAACAATCAAATGATTTCTATGGTGATGTCGGTGATGACCAAAACCAAACGGCCACCAAAATAGCGGGAATGGAAAAAACTTGGAATCGAGTTGGACTTCACCCGCATTGTTGTCTGCCTGGACTTCATTAATATCGGAACAGTTGACCAATTGGACCACAAATATGGCACCAATGATACCTGCAATCAAAAGTACTACCTTGCTCATTTTTAATTATTGAGTAAATAACTTTTACCTTAATAACTGTATTCTACTTTCTATTCAGTTTATATACACCTAAAATGTAACTGTACTCGCAATATATAAAATTTATATAATAAGATTGATCATGGTTAGTTGAATTAATTGTGTAATTGTTTATTTTAGAAAATATAAAATGTTGTAATTAATGTAAATGTCTTTTTCATGATTTTCAAATTCAATCTAATAATGATTAGCAATACAATGATTTTAATATTACTTATACTTAGATTGAATATTATATGTAATTTACGATTATGTTTATTTAAACCTATTACATATATTTTATAATATGTTGTGTAATATATTATTTATTTAAAGTATAGCAACATATTTGTAATTGTATACTAAGAAATTCATAAAATAAGTTAATATTTAATATATTGAAATTAACATAAAAATAGTTTATATTTAAAGTTATATTTAGGACAATAAAATCAATTAGAAAAGTTAAAATAAAATTTTTAATAAAACTAAAAATAAGTGACAATATTTCGTATGTACTTTATATATATTATAAAAATTTAATTATTATAAAACACTTAAAATAGTAAAGAATATATGAATAATGAATTTTTTTATTATTATTAAGCAAGATAAAATATAGCTAATGTATTCTATTATATTTATTTTTTATAATAATAATAATGTTATAAAAATTTTAATAAATATCACATAATAGTTAACTGAATAAAAAAATTAAATGAGAATAGGAATTGTAAAATAGTAATTTAAATAATAAGACAAACTTAATTGTTAATAAAAGAATAATTATAATTATTATAATAAGTTCTATTGGGTTTATTATATAATAATATTTATTACAGTATAACAATTATTATATATATAATCAATCGATTTTTATTTATTTAGAATAATTATGATTTGGAAATAAATATAAATACATTAGATTTTAATATAATTTATTACTTATTGAATCTAAAATTTAATTTAAAAAACTTTTTAAAGATGTCTTCTATTGACAAAATTGAGCATTTTTTAACTGGTTCATATTTTATAATATCAGCATCATTTAATGATTATATTATTGGATCACTAAACAAATCACGTATAATAAAATCACAATTAATAAAGCTATCATCAGTAATAACATTTTTACGTTATATGCTATCAATTGTGTTCAATACACCATTGATTTTATTGTTGACAAGTAATGCAAACTATGTTTTGGGCAATCATTTGATTATAACAATACTACTGGGATTCGGTGGTCTGATATGCGATCATTTTGTTGGTTCAATGTTTCAATACATTGAGATCAACCGTAAACTCTATGCAATTGACTATTTGTATGACATTCAACATAAGTTAATTGAAGTGAAAATAAGCAAAAAATTGCACCAAAAATTTAGTAGACAAACATTATTTATATCGCGTTATTTTTCTGGTCATTTAATCAAATTATTAGTTATAAATGCTACAGTGGCATTTGGTTTGCCACCATTTATTGCCTACTATGATCCCGGTGCTGAAATCAAGTACTCTATGATCCTGAACATAATAAGGACTCTATTGTTAATAGTATGGGTGTACGATTTTTATGTAGTATGTATTGCTGGCTTTCAATTATGGTATATATCGTTAAATCACTTAAAATATTTGTTTTATGTTTTGGGATTTATTGAACACTTAACTGACACTCACATTGGTTTCTGGTGTTACCGTTATTTTCCAATGAATAACTACCAGTTTTATCAATACCTGTTAGATTTGATCGAACAATACTTTTTGATTATTAAACTAATTAAGAGAAATTTGATTACAGATTAAATTAGTTTAATAGCATTTGTAATTCACTAATCATTGTATTAATAGAATCTAATATAATATATAAATCAATAATATTTATTATTAATATAATAATTTAAAAACAAATTGTTGAGACTGTATTATAGTTAGTGTCAGACATAATTTCAAGTATTTAATAAAATTTATTGTATTAATCTTATTACGTAACACAAATGTTAATTATAATAATAGTATTTTATATGTATTTATTTGTATGATTTTATTATCTCTAATAATGTATTATAGTTTTAAATAATTAAAAACTTTTAGTTTTTATGTGTTTAAGTTATTACAAATATTATACAGTACAATATATAAATTTTGAGAAATATAAAAAACTATTTACTTAAT